GGTCTCTCCTGCCCAGGCTGGCTTTGAACCGCGATCCTCAGATCTCAGCCTCCTGAGTAGCTAGGATTACAGGTGTGAGCCACCAGCGCCCGGCTGAGTACATTTCTTATCAAGCATTGTTGCCTCCTCCTTTGTTTCCCTTTCCCATCCCATCCTCCTCCCACCCCGCCCCCCAAGATCCTCTTATCTATGTCTCTCCTGTAGCTGAGATTAAAGGTGCATACACCCCTGTTGGAGTGTTACTATCTAACTTTCTGCTTGAGCTGGCATTGCACTGTGACTCTTAAAATCCCTGCCCACCAGCTAGCTGGGATTATCAGTAGGAGCCACCATGCATGGCCTTATATATTCCAGTCTTGGGGCTTGAACTCAGGGCCTGGGTGCTATCCCTGAGCTTCTTTTGCTCAAGGCTAGCACTCTACCATTTGAGCCACAGAACCACTTCCAACTTTTTCTGTGTATGTGGTACTGAGGAATCAAACCCAGGAATTCATGCATGCTAGATAAGCTCTCTACTACTAAGCCACATTCCCAGTCCGGATTTATATATTTTTATTTTAACTTATCTATTCTATATAGTTAGCTAGTACCTGCATTTGAACTTAGGGCCTCATGCTTGCTCAGCTTGCCTGCTTGACTGGTGCTCTGTCACTTGTGAACATACTGTACAGAGGGGTTACAATTACATGGGCAGGATAATGCGTACATTTCTTATCAAGCATTGCAGCCTCCTCCTTTGTTTACCCTTCACATCCCTTCCCAGCCTCCCCCCTCCCCTTCAAGCTCCAAATTTTTGCTGATTATTTTGGAGATGAAGTCTTAGGAGTTTTTCCTCCGTGGTCTGACTTTGGACTATAACTCTATGTATCTCAGCCTCCTGACAGCAAGGATTACAGGTGTGAGCCAGTGACACATAGCTTACCTATCTTTATCGCCTACCTTCTGCAACAGAATCTTTTTGTTGTTGTTGTTGTTGGTTGTGGGGCCTGAGCTCTGGGCCTGGGTGCTGTCCCTCAGCTCTTTACCTCAAGACTAGCACTCTACCACTTGAACCACAGCACCACTTCTGTTTTTTTCTGCTTATGTAGTGCTGAGGAATCAAACCCAAGGCCTCATGCATGCATGGCAAGCACTCTACCACTGAGCCACCTTCCCAGCCCCTGCAACAGAATATTTATCTATTGCCCCTATCTTATCCATTTACCCTCTATATTTATCAGTATTCTCTAAAACTGTGTGTCACTTGCCTATCTCTACCTTCAAATACCACCTCTCACTGAGCATGTTAGAACCTATGAGTGTCTCCAGCACACAGCTTGCTCAGCCCTTACCTTGCTGGCTCCTCATGGCTTCTTCTCTTCCCCTTAGCCTTTTACCTATCGCTTCGAAGGCACGTAAAATGGTTTGGGGTTGAAACACTCAGCTGAAGTGAATTCAGATTCTGCAGGAGTGGGGCGCTGGGGGCTCACACCTGTAATCCTAGCTACTCAGGAGACTGAGCTCTGAGGATCGTGGTTCAAACCTGCCTGGGCAGGAAAATCCATGAGATTTTTTATCTCTAACTAACCAAAAGCCAGAAGTGAAGCTGTGACTCAAGTGGCAGAGGGCCAGCTTTGAGCAAAAAAAGCCAAAGGAAAGCTTGAGGCCCTGAATTCAAGCTCCAGTACCGGTGCACACGCAAAAGCCCTGAGCAACAATAGCAACAACAACAAAAAACATTCTGGAGGAAAGCTGAGCCAGCTGCCAGTCTCTCCTAGCTCTCAACTCATCAGAAGTTCCCTAAATCTAGGCTAATGAGACGCTGGAAAGACTTGGAAGCACATTCTCCTTTTTTGTTTTTATTTCTGGTGCCTTGAATTCAGAGCATTGTCCTGAGCGCTGTCCCTGAGCTTTTTCACTCAAGTCTAGTGCTCTACCACTTTGCCACTTCAGTTTTCTGGTTTCTGGGTGGTTAATTGGAGACAAGAGTCTCTCAGATTTTCCTGCCCGGGCTGGCTTTGCATCTTGATCCTCAGAGCTCAGTTTCCTGAGTAGCTAGATGACAGGCGTGAGCCATGGTGCCAGCCTACATGCTGTTCTTGATCCAGTCATCCACTTACTGTCCAGTTAGAGGATGCATTTTCTCAAAAGCTTAGAGTTCTCTTCTGTCTCCTGCTTATCCTCTTCTAGCCCTTATCAGCAACACTTAGCCCAGCATGGACTTAGCTTAGCCCTGGTCATTACAGCAACTCCTAGACCTTCTGGGACTCCTCCCTCCAGCTGGTGGCCAGCTGGGCAGGGTCCCTGGGCCCCTGGCCTTCAAGCCTCTGGCCATCTTTATGTCCTGACTCTGTGCACAGCCCCTGTACGAAGGCTGGTTCCTGGCTCTCTTCAACCTGCTCTACACCATCCTCCTGGTCTTCTACATTGGGCTTTTTGAGAAGGTGAGCAGGGGTGAGGTCTGGCTTCCGCCATGGCGGGTATGGGGTGCAGGGAAGCCTGGCCCAGGAACAATCTCTGTGCCCTTACTTGGTATCTGCGCTCACTGAGCTCTGCCTCAGATGGGGTGTCAGAGGAACTATCATAAGCTGGGTGCTGGTGGCTCATACCCGTAATCCTAGCTACTCAAGAGGCTGAGATCTGAGGATCCAGCTTCAAAGCCAGCCTGGTGAGAAAAACCAGAACTTTTTTTTGGGGGGGGGTCAGTTGTGGGGCTTGAACTCTGGGCCTGGGCACCTTCCCTCAGCTCTTCAGCTCAAGGCGATTGCTCTACCACTTGAGCCACAGCACCACTTCCGGTTTTTTGGTGTTTAATTGGAGATAAGAGTCTCATGGGGACTTTCCTGCCCGGGCTGGCTTTGAACTGCCATCTTCAGATCTCAGCCTCTTGAGTTGGTAGGATTACAGGTGTGAGCTACCAGTACCCAGCTTAAATCAGAACTTTGTTTTTGGTGCTAGTCCTGGGGCTTGAACTCAAGGCCTGGGCACTGTCCTTTTGTGCTCAAGGCTGGTGCTTTACCACTTGAGCCACAGATCAACGTCTAACTTTTTTGGGGGGTAGATTGGAGATAAGAGTATCATGAACATTGCTTCCTGGGCTGACTTTGAACTGCAGTCCTCAGATGTCAGCCTCCTGAGTAGCTGGGGTTACAAATGTGAGCCATCGCCTCTTGGCAACATCTTTGATTTAATTCACTGCAGCTCATGCCACTTTGTGCTACAGAGGTGGCCAGATCCCTTCAGGGGTCCCTCCCATTCCCTGTCCTGTCCCAAGAGCCTGCTGACTCTTTCCTAGGATGTGAGTGCTGAGCAGAGCCTGGACATGCCCCGGCTGTATATGGCTGGCCAGAGAGAGGCACTTTTCAACTACCGGATCTTCTTCCAAGCCATTGCCCATGGCACGGCCACCTCCCTGATCAACTTCTTCATGACACTGTGGATCAGCCGAGACACAGCAGGGCCTGCCAGCCTTGGCGACTACCAGTCCTTCGCGGTGACAGTGGCCGTCTCAGGCTTGCTGTCCGTTATCATGGAGGTAGGCAGGGCCACCACCTCATCTCCCCATGTCCAGGGGCCATGGAGGCCACCCAGGTGACCTTCCCGGACCCTAGAACTCGATGTCCTGACCCAGATAATCCTCCAACCCTGGCTGTTCCTTTCCCCCTTTCCTGTCTAGGCCATCCTGGTCATCAAATACTGGAGCGTTCTGTGTGTCCTGGCTGTTTTCCTCAGCCTTGGCTTCTACGCAATTATGACATTTTTCACCCAGAGCTTGTGGCTGTTCAGGATCTCTCCATCAACGTTCCCATTTCTCTGTGAGCCCCACCGGGAGATCTTGACACAGGCAACACAGGCATCCCTGACACATCAGTAGGGACAGGGCGTGGGGAGAGGCAGGGAAAGGTGGGGGGGTGGCCTCCAGGGACCCCAAAACAGCCATATGCAAAGCCTGGACTTTGGTGGTTCATGTCTATAATCCTAGCAATTCAGGAGGCTAAGATCTAAAGGATAGTGGTTCAAAGCTAGCTCAGGCAGGAAAGTCTGTGATACTCCAATTAAATAACAAAAAACCAGAAGTAGAGTCGTGGCTCAAGTGATAGAGCACTAGCCTTGTGCTAAAAAGCTCAGGGACAGAGGCTGGGAAGGTGGCTCAGTGGTAGAGTGCTTGCCTCTCATGCACGAGGTCCTGGGTTTGATTCCTCAGTACCACATAAGCAGAAAAAGCCAGAAGTGGCACTGTGGCTCAAGTGGTAGAGACCTTGCCTTGAGCTGAAGAACTGAAAGACAGCGTCCAGGCCCAGAGTTCAGGCCCCACGACCAACCAAACAAAAAGTGCAGGCACAATACCTAGGCCCTGAGTTCAAGCCCCAGGAATGGAAAGAAAGAAAGAAAGAAGCTGGCGCTGGTGGCTCATGCCTGTAATCCTAGCTACTCAGGAGGCTGAGATCTGAGGATCTCGGTTCAAAGCCAGCCTGGGCAGGAAAGTCTGTGAAACTCATATCTCCAACCAACCACCAGAAAACCAGAAGTGGTGCTGTAGCTCAAGTGGTAGAGTGCTCACCTTGAGCTGAAGAGCTGAGGGACAGCACTCAGGACCAGAGTTCAAGCCCCACGATTGACAAAAAAAAAAAAAAATCAGAAATGGAGCTGTGGCTCAACGTGGTGAAGAACTAGCCTGAACAAAAGAGCTCAAGGCAGCACCTAAACCCTGATTTCGAGCCCCATAACCATCGAAACAAAAAACAAAGCAAGAATTAAAAGCAAAAAGCAAAAGCCATGCAGGTGGCTCACAGTCACCTAGCAAGTCCTGAGGAAGGGGATGCTGTTTGGTGGTGGTCTGGAGACATGGGGGGGGGGAAGGAAGGAAGCAAGGTCTCTGTTATGTTCCTCATCCTCTTCTCAGATGCTGACTACACTGTGCTGACCCAGCCGTCCAATCTGCTGGTGATCCTGCTGAACATGGCCACGACCACATTACCCATCCTGGCCTTCCGCGTCATCCACCAGCATTTCAGGGAGCTGCGCCCCAAGGTGAAGCATGGCTGGAGTGCCTTGAGCCTCCTGGGACCCCATCAGCTCCTCCTTGCTCTCCCTATGAGAGGGGTGGACATGGAACCCCATGTGTTCCCTGTGCTCCCAGAGGGGTACGCTCCCTAAAGGAAGACCACACATCCTGGTATAGGAGAGCCAACCTGCATGCACTGGCTGGCATTAGTTCCCCAAGTATTATAGGGTTTAAGTGACTGAACCAACCTTGAAATGCTCTAGGGAAAGGGGGGCATTTGGGAGCACATAGAAATATCCTAAGCAGGGGTTGGGAATGTGTCTTAGTGGTAGAGTGCTTGCCTTACATGCATGAAGCCCTGGGTTCGATTCTTCAGTACCACATACACAGAAAAAGCCAGTAGTGGCGCTGTGGCTCAAGTGGTAGAGTGTTAGCCTTGAGCAAAAGAAGCTTAGGGACAGTGCCCAGGCCCAAAGTCCAAGCCCCAGGATTGACAAAAAAATAAATAAAAAAAAATAAAAATCCTAAGCAACCACAAGTGGAGAAGTGAGCATCCAGTGTGGTCTCCGAATAGATTGAGGGACCACTGTGTCTAGACATCATGTGGGTTTTATCACAGTGAACAAAGAAAGTACTGGCTTAGAATGCACTTAGTGGCAGAGTGCTTGCCTAGCATGCATGAAACCCTGGGTTTGATTGCTCAGTACCACATACACAGAAAAAGCCAAGTGGTAGAGTGCTAGCCTTGAGCAAAAGAGGGTTAAGGGCAGTGCCCATGGCCTGAGTTCAAGTCCCAGGACTGGCAAAGAAAAAAGAAAAAGAAAAGGAAATAAAAGGAAAGAAAAGAAAGAGAGAGAGAGAGAGAGAGAGAGAGAGAAAGGAAGGAAGGAAGGAAGGAAGAAAGAAAAAGAAATACTAGTCAGGTGCCCGTGGCTCATGCTTGTAATCCTAGCTACACTGGAGGCTGAGATCTGAGGATTACAGTTCGAAGCTAGCACAGGCAGGAAAGTCTGTGTGACTCATATCTCTTTAACCACCAGAAAACCAGAAGTGGTTCTGTGGCTCAAAGTGGTAAAGTGAAAAAGCTCAGGGACAGTACCCAGGTCCTGACTGACCAAAAAAAAAAAATACACGTGTAACAAAAACATAATTCACCCCCCCCAAAAAAAATAATTCGCTCTGGGAAAGATTCTGATTGGCTGCTCAAGAGTTCAGTCCCAGGTGAGAATGCGGATGGGCTATTCTAGAGTGAAGTCCCAGGGAAGGACTCTGGCAGATCCAAGTCAAATTTCAGGGCAGATTCTAGTTGACTCACCTTGAAACCAGAAGCAGGTGGCCAGTCCCCGAGGGCTCTGGAGGTTCCTAACTTGGAGGCCAGTGACTAGAGTCACGCTGGAGTCTGATGCCCGTGTCCCGCTGTGCTTTCAGGAAGAGGAAGCCCTGAAGGATGAAATCTTCACCGTGGAACGCATGCTTCATTTGCGCCGGGCGGCTCCCACTCGGCGTTCCAGCTACGCCTTCTCCCACCGTGAGGGCTACGCAGACCTCATCACGCGGGGTGCGATCCTGAAGAAGTCTCCCAAGCTCCACAGAGATTCCCCGGTCCCATCTGATGAAGAACAGCAGCCACACAGGAACACTAGGAAGACATCTTTCGTGGTGAAGAAGATTCATCAGTGTCAGGGAAAGGCAACTTCCATGCCGTCTTCAGTCAGGAGCTTGTCATTAATTGTAGGAAGACAGTCTACTCTTCCCTCAGAAACCCAACCCACTGTCACCACACGATGGTCTACCACTGTGAGCAGACTATCTCGGTCTTTCCAGGATAAGACATTGTCATTCCAGGCAAGCCAGCGATCACCTTCTAAGGACCCGTCTCAGCTCTTTGCCACCCAGTCATTGCATTCCTGCCAGGCCTTTGCTGATAGGAGACTTTGGAGAGGTCATCATCATTCTGCACACTGGCAGAAGAGCTGGCGAAACATCCAGCAAAAGGATCTCAACCCCCAAAGGAAGAAAGAGCCACTTCCTAAAATGCCCCACACATCACCGGCAGAGACCCAGATGCCAGATTTTAGATAGTCATCGATGAATGAGCATCCATAGAGATAGAGCTCTGGCCCTCAGAGGGGCAGCCAATGCCCGTTGAGGAGCATTTTCTACCAGACTTGGCGGTGCAGCCACCTCTACCCCCAGAAGAGACGTCATTGACTTGTAAAAGCCTATCAGTGAACAGGAGACCTTTCTCCAAAGGTGAGGCTCTACATCTTGCTTTTTCCTAACAAATCAGAGTCCATCCAACCCCAGGGAGAGCATTTTGGGGCTCAATCCCACACTTTGGGCTTTCCTACTCTTCTTTTGTCCAAGCCACATAGACGATTCCTGGTTTTTTAAAAAGTAAAAACAGCCAGGTTTTTTTTTTTTTACTGTAAAACACCTGCAATCCTAGCTACTCAAGAAGCTGAGATCTGAGGATGGAAGTTCAAAGCCAGCCCAGGCAGGAAAATCTATAAGAGTTTTAACTTTAACCAGCAAAAAGCCAGAAGTAGAAGCCAGGCACTGGTGGCTCATACCTATAGTCCTAGCTACTCAGGAAGCTCAGATCTGAGGGTCACTGTTTGATGCCAGCCCAGGCAAGAAATCCGAGACTCTTATCTCCAATATATTATTTAAAAAAAAAAAAAGCTGGAAGTGGTGCTGTGGCTCAAGTGGCAGAGTGCTAGCATTGAGCAAAAGAAGCTTAGGGACAGAGCCTAGGCTGAGTTCAAGGCTCCAGACTGACAACAACAACAACAACAAAGAGAAGCTAGGCAGTATTGGCTCATGTTTGTAATCCTAGCTACTCAGGAGGCTGAGTTCAAAGCCAGCCCAGGCCAGAAAGTCCATGAGATTCTTATCTCCAATTAACCACCAGAAAACTGGAAGTGGCACTGTGGCTCAAGTGGTAGAGTGCTGGCCTTGAGCTAAAGAGCTGAGGGACAGCGCCCAGGCCCAGAGTTCAAGCCCCACGACTGACCAAAAAAAAAAAGGCAAGGCTGGGAAGGTGGCTCAGTGGTAGAGCGCTTGCCTTGCATGCTTGAAGCCCTGGGTTCAATTCCTCAGCACCACATAAGCAGAAAAAAAAAAGCTGGAAGTGGCGCTGTGGCTCAAGTGGTAGAGCACTAGCCTTGAGCTGAAGAGCTGAGGGACAGCGCCCAGGCCCAGAGATCAGGCCCCACAACAGGACCCAGAAATAAAAAGGCAGAAGTAGAGACAGGGCTCAAATGGCAAAACACCAGCCTTGTACAGAAAAAGCACAAGACCCTGAGTTCAAGTCCCAGTACACACACACACACACACACACACACACACACACACACACACACACACACACACACACACACTCAGAGTCAAAATACTGACCTCTGGTGGTAGGTAGACATTGCTTCCTTTCCATTCTGGAGAAGACAGTGCCAGCAGGAGAGAGCAGAGCAGGTTCTACCTAACAACCTGGCCCTCCTCCACCTGCCCCTACCACCTCCTGCCTACTGGCCCTCCTCCACCTGCCCCTACCACCTCCTGCCTACTGGCCCTTCTCCACCTGCCCCTACCACCTCCTGCCTACTGGCCCTTCTCCACCTGCCCCTACCACCTCCTGCCTACTGGCCCTCCTCCACCTGCCCCTACCACCTCCTGCCTACTGGCTGGCCCTTCTCAGACAAATTACACGAGTTCCAAATCTAACCTCTTCTGACTACTTTCTCCCCTCTACTTCCCAGCTTTGGGCAGTTAGAACAATGGACAGTGATGGCTCCCATGTAGGTCCTAACAAGGTCTGCATGGAAGGGGCCTATCTGGCCCAGAGGCCCCAAGCTTCTGATTCTTAAATGATAGAGCAGGGAGAAACAGGGTCCTACCTTCCTTCACTCCTTTCCTCCTTCCTGTGTGCAGGGCTTGGGGAGCCCTGGCCTTCTCCTTTTCTGTCCATCCCCAGTCAACCAACACACACACACCCAGCTTAGTGACTAGAAAATAATTTATTGAAGAAAAAAAAACAAAACAACAAACCCAGCACAGCAATGGTTAACACAATGGTGATGACTTTTTTTTTTAACTTTTAAGCTTATCACCTGAGGGTGGGTGTGAGGCTGTTCTTCCCTTACTGTTTTGGAGACCTAGAACTTTCCACAGCCCAAATAGCAACCCTACTTCCTCATCTTTACTAGCAATACTCTGGGTCTCCTCCACACCCTCCGCTGAGGTAATTCACCAAAACCAGCCCTAGTGATAGAGCTCTGGGGCCCAAAGGCCTGGCTTGGGTTGAAACAGTTTGGGCTAAGAAGGTAAAAATTGATGAGGCCCCTCCCCCCATCCATGCCATCATCTGAGACCTAAGACCCCACCCCCAGCATCTGTCACACGTGGTGTGGACATCCCTTAGCTGTCCCCACCCATCACCCACATTCTTGGGGTCTACCAGGAAAGAAATCTGCCCACCTAGGAGTGGCTCAGAGGCCTGACCACCTGGCGAAGGAGGAGCGAGGCAAACGCAAGATCCCAGAGCCTCATTTCCAATACTGGGGTCAGTATATGTGTGTGGGGAGCAGGGGTGGGGCTCTGCTCTTCAAGACCCAGGAGTGGCTGAGAGGGAAGGCTCTCATCTCCCAGGCTGGGCAGAAAGGTGAATTGGTGGCCAGTCCTGGGTCAGGGAGGCTGAGGGTACCTCCCAACGGAAATAGATGAGTCTCAGGACTGTTTGGATCTGGGGAAGTTGAGGCACACCCCAGCTCCTCCCCACCACCTAGGTAACAAGAATCCAATTGCCTGATTGTCTCTCTCCTCTGAACAAGACACTTGGGAATTCAGGCTCAGGTAAAACCAACCCTGGTGGGTGGGGGAGGGCGGGAGAGCCACAGCAGCGCTGAAGGCCCTGGGCATCCAAAATCCAGGCTGGGGCAGGCAGGTGGGATGTGAGGTGCTGGGAACTGAAGGTTCAGTCTGCTCCAGGACCCTTTCTTCCTCTCCACCTGGGTTCGGGTGCCTGGGGAGAGCCTCAATTTCTTAGAACATGGGGGACAGAAACAGCAGCTTAAAGCACACACGGAACAGCAGGGACTTGGGCATGAAATACAACCATGTGACATGGAACCCCCCACCCCACCCCCACTTACTACATCATTGGCAAGAAGGAATACATTAGCCATGCATCAACTCAAATTCCATCGCGTCTTTTTTTTTTCTTAAATTACATTTGAACACAGAACACATAGAATAATAAATACTCTTATAAGACATGACTAAAATAAAACAACAACAACCAAAAAAACCCAAGGAACAGAACAAGGCAGGAAACAGAAGATCCACTCTCTTTCCTAAAAGACTTGTACATGAGAAGTCTGGTCCCAGGCTGGCCGAGGCCACCACGGCCCAGCCCCACCCTCGCCCGCCCCGCTGGCCCGGCTTCTGCTGCCCTGACATTCAATACGTCTTCCACGGAAGCCGCCACAGAAATGACATGCCATCGTCTGCAAAATTATAATTTAACGGTATAAAGCTTCAAGTCACGTATTCCAAAAACTAGCTAAGGATTTTTTTTTAAATCACATAAACTATACATTAAATATTTTGAGGTATTTCAGAGAGAATTGTCAAAGGCTAGAAGGAATTGTGCTGGAAGATGGGTTCCCAGCATGGGGAAAGGTCTTTGGTAAGTAGGTGATGGGCATAGAGGACAGTCCACGGG